AATCTCTTGAAGTGGGTTTTAATTTTTATTAAAAGTTAAATTCAAAAAGTGAGAAAAAAAAAATATTCGAAAAAGTGTGAAGTCCGCCAACAGGCACTGGGGTAGCGCGGCGCACATTTTCTTGTCCAAAAACCTTTTACTATAGGCTTAATTACAATAGACTGTAACCTAAAGCACTCAAAATTCTTGTAAACTTCTTAAAACTTCATTTGAATATTAAACAATAGCTTAAGATGAGATCCCCGTTGAACGATTAGAACTTCTTTGACTATATTATTCACTTCATTTTGTTGCTAACCAAGTTTTATAGATGTCCTTTGCAGAAAAATCAGCGTGTCTTTTCACCACCTTGGCTCCTATTTTCTGGAATGTATCTTTGGTGTACAGTGACTGCCTTCAGCCTTCAGCCTTCCTGTTAGCGGTTGAGATTTCTCCGAACCTAAACTATGGACTGTTTATTGAGTCTAGGGCCAAAGCAGCCACAAGGAAACTAAGCATCCTAGCATGGGTTCGGCGGTACGTCACGCCGATGCAGCTTAATACCTTATGTAGCGCACCTTATACAACCGCAAGCTGGTCGTGCGTAGAGTACTCATGTCACATGTGACCTGATTCTGCGAAATGCCGCCTAGCAGCGTTGGACTCAATGGAGAGACGTGCTAAGAGGCTTATTGGTGACCTCGATTTGGTTAAAACAAATCTTGTCAACCTCAAGCACAGGCGCGGAGTGGCCATCCACTCGATATTCTATAGGCCGCATTTCGAAGAGTGTGCGCAGGAATTATATATTTTAATTATTCGCTTCTTTTTCCACCTTGTGACAAACCGGCGGTCGGTGGGTACGCATTTTTGTTGTTGATATTCCACTCATTAGATCCAAACTGTTTGATTCGTCTTTCGTATTGCGTACAGCAAAGGAGTGAACTAATTTGCCGACTTGTCTTTCCGTGTGAATTCAATTTGGGCGTCTACAATCTTTTTTTTATAACATTGGGTGACAAACGAGCACACAGTGGTAGGTGGATGCTATGGTCCTCAGACATCCACGTTTATCCGTAATTAAGAATCAAAATGTAAATGCGTTGTCACCCCTGAGGACTAAGATGGAACGCCTCGATTCCAGTAAAAATGGTCTCTGGTTCTCTACACTCACCATACGAAGCACAGCAGCATTACGCTGCTATTTTACGCTGGTATTCTGTAAGGGAGTGGTTCTGCCACGGTCGAGCCGACCAGTTCGTATAATATAGCTGCATTGTGGCTCTAACATGTAAGAAATCAAAGAAAGGATCTTCAAGGCAATAGTGAATAGGCTTTTGTTGCCTTAAAACAGGCATATACCATCTGGGGCTTCATCACTAATTACGAGGTAGGATTGTGGTCAAGCTCTAACTAATAATAAGTATAAAAAATCACTTTTTAAATTTTTTAAACGTTAAGTTACCGTCTAATGCCTACCTTATGTTAAGTTTAGCGTCCAGTCTGCAGCAAATGTGACGCTTGAATAAGTAACTTTGACTGAAAATGGTTATCAGTTTGCATGAGAAATCTACTTCAAGCAAAAATCGAAATTCTATTCTGCTGACTTGATCTAGCTAGCAGCGACATGCATGCATGAACGTGAGGGCCAACGATCAAGTACGAGTAACGCTAGTTTTGACAACAGACAAGACAACAGACTCACTGCACTGGTTCTCCTCTGACAAGGCGACAAGTCGTAAAATAAACACACAATCGTGTAGTGCTCGGATCTAATATTTAGTAATTCACAATTATTTGATTACATTTATGGGAGAGGACTGCTTCCTTAACCAGCTTACTCCAATCTTTACACACAACTTTTCCTTGTTTTCTTCATTAAAAGTAAATAGCTTATGATCGCTAATGCGTCGTCGTCCGTCACCAGTGATGCCATAGTTTCAACTGGAAGGCATCATATAACTTGACGGTTAATTTGATCGTGAGTAGTCTATAAGAACTGCAAACATAATCAAGTGACAAATCCACAGCAAACTGAACGGTAAAATTGATAAATTTTGATTTACTATAACAATTAGACGTACACTGATGGTTACGTTTTTTAGTATCTGATTTTCTATCTGATTATAAAGTGAATGTTTTCAAGTGAGCAGTGAATTTGCTTTTGTTGCACTTTAACACTACCTACTATCAGGTAAAATAGTCAGTCACTGCCTTATAATAAAAACATATTATGTAGCTTTTACCTTAATCACAGCGGTGATGGAAAACATCGTGCAGAAAAGTCTCTTTGAAAATAATTAATAACAGCATGTTGATGCGAATCAGAAGGGAAATCACTAGTGTTTCAAAAAGGCCGAGGAAATAAAATATTTCGAAGACGTGCTGCCTACCAGCGTGCATTGGAGCAGAGTAGCGAAGATATTGTACCTTAATCGTCCAAAAACCCAAAAATGAGGGGAGGTCTGTACCCGACATAAAGACTGCAATTTTGACTTGTTATGTTACCTATAAAGCTAGTATTATTTTCCCTAAATCTCTTGTAATGAATTCCGGTTTGCCATTGTACACACTCAAACCATGATTTAAGAAAAAAAATTGGTTGAAACTTAGAATCGTTTGGCAGGAATTTGGGGGAGTAAGGTGTTTTATTAGGTAGAGGTTTGGTCCCCGATTATAATAATACCCCTCCCATTAAAAGGTAATGGACCGTTCTTGAGAAAAATCAAAAAGAAAATCCCATTGAACTAATCTTAAAATCATAACTCAAAATGAAATAAAAGGATGGGAGGTAGTGGAGAGGGAAGCGGGGGAGTTGTAGAGTCGCCCCCCACTTCCACATCATGCCGGACATGGTTAGTTTGTTTTTTATAAATTTTTAAAAATCTAATTTTGAGGTTATGTTTTTGTTATGTTTTTGACTATAATCCTGATTTATGGGGGGAGAGAGTTGGAGGAGGGAAGCACCACGTAGCGCAGTCGAGGAAAGGCCGGTCGACGGAGCCCCGCTTCCTCTTCTGAGGGCTCCTACTTCTGAGTGGTTTACAAACAAATAACCACGAAGGGAATGGCGGGGTCTATTCGCTCGCTCACTCGATCCCGCCATCCCCTTCTAACCTAACCTGTCCGAGTCGGGGTGCCCTAAGTCCCGCTCGCTTCGGTCGCTCTTGCACTCAACAAAACACCAAAATATTAGCTTTTATAATTACTTTAAATTATAAACATAGTAATATATAATACAATAATAACAACACTACAGCTCGCACAGGTGCCTGCGATTTGCTACGACGGGCGGGGGCTGCTCTCCCTCAGCACCTACGGCTTTACAAAAACACTTTAGGAGTAGGGCAGACAAGACTACATGGATTCGGGGCGGCGTGCTGATTTAATTTTAGTACAGATTCGATCAGATCAGAGATATCTATAGTCAAGTTGCCTTTGCTCCCGCCAGACACAAAATTCTGTATGCTATTCTGCTTTCACAGTAATATCGTATAATTTTTTCTCAGAAAGTCTAGAACCCAGAGCCGTAAATTCAGCTAACAAAAAAAATGTATCACTTTTCATACTTTACGTATTTAAGGTTATAATAGTTTTTATTTATTTTTTCGATAACGGTGCATTACCTTTTAATGTGAGTGGTATTATTATAATCGGGGACCAAACCTCTACCAAATAAAACACCTTACTCCCCCAAATTCCTGCCAAACGATTCTAAATCCAACCCAAAAAATTAGCAGAAGAAACAGTCCGCCGGCGGTCATGCTCAATTCGATGAAACCTTCATTAAAATATCAATTACTTCATATTTCATTAAAATGAAGTTATCGGATTATTTTTAGTAATTTAGACATAAACTATAGAGTAATTGTAGATTGTCAGTCTTAATTTGTTAATTGAGGATGTAATGATAATCATAAATAAGAGTGTAAAGGAGAACCCCCCTTCACGGCGCGTTTTCGAAATTTTCTGTCTATTGTCCACGTTCATGTGCCCCGATATTATATTGATGAATGCTGCCCGGGGCGTGTTTATCCCGGAAAGCAATCAGCAATAATTTGTTGTATGGCAAATCCTTTCACCACTAATATTTCAGTCGATTAACACGAAGAATATTACAATTATATAATAATATTTTAATGATTATATAATATTATAGGGGAGGAGGAAATGAGAGTTAAATATTTATCTTGAATTAACGTTTTAGATCTGTCAGACTAAAACGTATCTTGTGGTCTTTAAAGAAATACTTTGATTATAAACTCAATTTTCATTAAATATCAACTTTGATCACCATCACTACCCTGACGTCAATGGAATTGTAATCAGCGTGGGGGGCAATGAGAGTCACCAATTTTTTAGCAATGGTCTTCTAACTTTCTGATCATCTTCGTCCAGCCCATCGTGCATGGACTCCAGGATTACGCTCAAATTGCACTTGTATCGTATTCATAATTATATTAAATTACATTGAAATTGCGGAATAACGAAACACTAAAAGTAAGTATTTGTAGGTATGGGGGCTACCTATAGTATCTTGTCAGTATCTTTTAGGTACCTACCCCATTCTCCTCTGCACATGTATTATCATTTTTTCAGCTCAAAATATTTTATCATAAAATAAATATTACTCCCAAAAATATATTAAATTGTCTTACCTGTCCTAATAAAGAAAGAAAGTAATAAAGACTGAGTGCTGCGCATATTTGAAGTGACGCAAAAACTAAGCCACCATGTAAATAACCATGTCATTATTGTAAATATGACCATGGTTATTTACACTTAAATGATTTATTTCACTTAAATGATCGCAGTGCTCCATATATCTTCTTTGTTCGTTGGTGTGTGTTGATAAACGTGCATAAAATATTACATAAAATAAAATTCACTTTATGATATAGGAGTCACCTATAATCACCTACAGGAAAATATGAGTAATTGTGTATTAAATAAGTATGTTATTTATGATTATCTTAACATCGTGTTTGAATACATACTGATAACATATTTTCTTTTTACAGGTGCTTGCGTGTGTAGCGGACAGCAAAGCGAACTTAATTGTCGAAGATATTATAACATATACCTACGTACAAAAATATACAGATACAACACTTCAACATTTTTTTTAATTTAAATCTTGTTGAGGAAGATAAAGTCATAATTATTTTTTTTTATTTATTTATTATTTATTTATTTATTACAAAAACAGTAACAACATCATAACAGTACAAAACCAAGACGATGCTGTACAAAAACCAAACAATAACTGATAAATATAACTACTGACATAAAATATATACTTATACAATTATAATTAAGAAACAAAAATATAAATTGAAAGAAAAAAAAAGAAAGAGAAAAAAATAGATATGTTATATTACGTATTTAATAAAAAATATTGGGTTCAATGAGGGCATCGACAAATTATCTGCCACCAGGGTGACGCCATTTTAAAATGAGGTTAGGTACACTTCAATACATAGATTTAGAATATACTGGCGTATATATTCTAAGTCTATGCTTCAATAATAAATATTTGACAGATTTCATAGTCGATCAATAATCAATTTATTTGGAAAATATAAATGCTATTATTTGTTTCTGTACCATTAGTTATATTTTATAAGCATAAATTAAATTAAAAATAAGTAATCCAAACCACAGATATTCATAAAAGTAGAAAAATAAAAAAAGAGTTAAAATGTGCAAAAAATTAAACAGGAAACCACTGAGGTATTGTTTAGTGTATTATAATACAATACTCTAGAAACTGATAAATTTTTATTTAAAACTAACTTCTCAATTAAATTACATTGTGTAGGTAACAAAAAACATCACCTCGGTGTCTAGCGAAATCTGGTGAGCGGAGGATTATCAGCCCTCATTGAAATAATACACTAATAATATAATATAAAAAGATACTTTAGTTCTTAAATTATGCAGAAGATAATAGGTTTTTTTAATATCATTTTATGTAACAAGAAATTAACATAAGTAAATACTTAAATAACATAAATTCAAATAAATAACGTAGTTAAAAACTTATGCATTAAAATCAATTCATTTACGAGGATTGGTGTTTTAAATTGGAAACAAGTGACGGTAGCGCCATCTGTTTGCCGTTCCTTGGGTATTGTCAGTTGTTGCTTGGCAAAACATGAAATAATAAAAGTGATGAAATTTCACTAAAAATGTTTGAATTAAAAGTATTTTAAATCACTAGTTGCGTAATTCTTTACTAGTAAACATTTTAAATCTTACGTGATAGTAAAATTTTAAAAAAAAATTTCTTACGCCTCACTTAAGTAGGTACCTAGTTCTACCTAACAACTTCATAATATCTGGTAAGCAATAAAGTGTTAATCAAGGAAATACTTTTTAAATAAAACCCGTTGCATAAAAACCGAGAACGATTCGATTGTCACTCTTATGGTCGCCACACACGGTCAGTTCAACTGATCATTCCAACTGATCAGTTCAAACTAAAACTGTCGATATTTTTGATAATATTGGATTTTCGATATATCGATAAATAAACTTGTATATAAAACTTCGATATTGATATATTTATAAATATCAATATATCGAAAATTCAATATTTTAAAAAATATCAACAGTTTTAGTTTGAACTGATCAGTTTGAATGATCAGTTGAACTGACCGTGTGTGGCGTCCAATAATCTAACTCTTAATCTCATGGTTTGTCAGAAAGGAAATGGAACTACAGTTTTCAAGCGATGTGGCAGTGCATAGGCAATCAAACAGACAAATCACTAAGCGACAAGAATTACGCTACTTCAAAACAGCTTGTATTGAGAGGATTTAGAAGAGTAGAAGTTTGGTAGTCCTATACATGAAGAAAGCCCGTCGCACTTACGCCCTTATGAAAAACTATAGACCGATTTCCGTTATGTGGAAAGGGACGTAAAGTAACTATGGTTAAACGTAACGTCCCGTTCCGCATAAAACCTGATATCTAATAGACCTTGTACTGAGGACACGTATCGTGATCGGAAGTGTGGACGTATTTTGATACTGTATCTCGATACGACGATGCGATACGATACTTAATACCTCCCATCTCGATTCGGTTTTTCCTTGGAATCAAAGTAAAATACAACACGGTCTTGAATATTTAATCGTGGAAAAAATTCCAGAATCTGAGAAAAATTTCTAGCGTACATATAAAAAGATAGTTAAACCGATATGCTGACATGAAACGATATGATTAAGTGTGGACTCGTTTTTTGACAGCGCCTATACTTAAGATATCCACTCCTCCTAGCCACCCCTCATTAACAACATCCTCAAAATGAGAGGAGGCATGCGTAATCGCTAAATTGGTAAAACGAAGTCATGTTTCGGTTTTTGTTATAAACATAAATATATAACAACAGCCGAATAAAATCTTACGATATTTCAAAAATTTACAGTAACTAATAACTTGACTACATACGAATAAATATCAAATGACAACAGAAAAAACAAAATAAACTTAAAATAATCAAATAATACAAATAGCAATAATGACATGAAATTAGAACAACATAATATTTGAACATGCAATATCTATCATTAATTATGGGAATTCCATACAATTCTTGAAGGGAACACATTATTTTTTTTTTCAATTAAAATTTAAGAATAATAATCGGAGCATGGCGAACTTGTAGTTATAGAAATATTAAAGTGTTTTATTAGGAAAAAGCTAAAAAAGCGAAGATGGATACGACAAAAAGGAATTACATCAAATTAAACACAATAGTATGTCCACACATTACGCTGAGCGACATCTGCCACTGCGAATGCTACTTTATTGCGTGCTCAAAACAACGGTTAGTATCTTATTTTAAAATTCTATTTTGATAATAAAACTCTGCACATCATACCAAAGTATAGTGTAGAGGCTAGTCCTTTCTCAAAGGGTTAACCAAACAAATTATTTCTATATAACGAAAATCATAACAATATAGGCTGTGCGCCTACCGAAAAAGTTCAAAACATCCTGATTAAAATACTTGAATGCATATCAGTAAAAACTTAAGTTTTTATTGTTTAAAATATCGTATCATGTCGAATTAAGTTGTGATGGGCAGACTTTTATTCTAAGCTAATATTTTTAATATTTAAGATAGAATAAGCTTCAAAGTTTTAATTACTTGTAAAGCTCCAGATGACACACTTTCCACTACGGTAATAAAAAAGATCCAGAAAAATAAATGTACCTTAAATATATGTACCTTAAACTTAATCAACGCAAAAATGTTACCACGGAGGAAGCGTTTCCTGTATTTGTTTAATACTCTGGGCATTAGCGAAATCTTGAATTCAGTAGGTAATTTCTTTATAAGAAAAGTCATCAGAGATTTCATTTGCTGGAAAAATAAATGTGATATCATTCCGCGTGCCACGATCACCTGATGAACGCAAGTCGCTGTTATTTCCGGCATAATTTACATAGAGATGGATACAGTCCCGTGGGTCGTGCACCCGCTGAATTTCTATTGTTTAGATTGGAAAACTAAGTGCGGTTGCGACGACTTTCCTCGTCCTCTCACGTCATTATTAGATTGCAGGTATTATGAGCGCATCATACATTTGATATAATATAAGGAAATTTCTAATAATACCGTTCTAATTTAAGTTGTAGGACAAGTATTTCGGCAGGAAAATTATGCTCGTCAATAATCTCGTTAAAATAACCTTCTTCTTAAATCCTTATCACGTTAATAATCTAATTGACATTTTTTTCAATTCATCACCACCATTACCATCATTATAAACTATCTGTCTACTACAGAGCGAGGGCTTACTTACAGATTGCTTCATATGGGAGATATTTGCCATAACGGCCTGAGCAGGCTGAGTGAGCAAGCTTACTCAAGTACTCTCTAAGGATATTATTTGAAAACTACACAACGATTCATATACACTACATACATATAAGTGGTAATTACGACATATACATTATTACATTTGAATAAATCCGTGTAATCGAATGCCTGATAGTTTTTAAAGATAAGCCTCAACAATATTTATAAATTACGACGTTATACACAGAGAACAGTATTTTACGATAGTTTTCAATATAATATAATATTATTTTAATTGTTTTACCATCCACCCAGCGGTGAGACTTGTAGAGGTTATAACTTTATATTGCACTATAATAATCTTTGTACTAATTTTCGCTTAAAAACTATTTCTGCTTATGTTCTATTTATTCATTTAAATTTTATTACCATATTTTTCCGAAATTGATCAATCCATTTTATAAGTATACATAGTTAAATATTTGCCAAGGGTGGCAACTATGGCAAATCCCCCTATAACAAAATCTAAGTGGACGCCTATGTTTGGCAGTGGACTATTAAGTAAGGCTATAATGGATGGACAATTAATCCTGTAAAACGACTTTGTTTATTAATTCATAAGTATAAGTAATAAAACAGGACCATTTAAATGTTAATAGTATTGGCCTATAGAAATAGCATTTAAGCAGACTTATTATTAGCATATTACAATATTTATAGAACTTATTTGGCGCGTTTATATGTATATATTATGTGTATCGGCGATACAATTAGGGTTGCCAGATGGTCGGGATTCGTCTGGATTATCCCGATGATTTCCAGACTCCCGACAAAATTCAAAATCTCCAGACAAACAACTCCTCGGCAAGTTAATGTATGGCCTTTGATTTTATAAAAGCCGAGTTAGTAATTTGACTGAACTTTAAAGTAAATTGTTTTAATTTTAAATATTTTCTGAATACTACTGAAGAATTTAAATTTGTGGACTCTAGTAAATTTTAATGCCATATACATGTGGCAATCTAAATATTAAGTGTACTTGAATTAGTTTTGTTTAAAGTACTTTTTGTAGGCTCTTAATAAAAAAAAACTTTTTATTATTAATATTCATTTCTCCCGACAAGAACCCCAAAGTCCCGACTTTTTCAAAAAATTTCCAGATATTTTGGTCTACCGATCTGGCAAACCTAGATACAATACCTAATACCTATGAAGGC